TGACATAAATGAAGACAGGAAGGTAAACAGCAGTGACGTTTGTAGTGTTACTGAAGTTGGGCTAGCTGGTATATAATGACGTGCTATGTGATTGCTAGCGACACAGCTACGTTAGCATAAACAGTGAAGCTGGAGGACGAAAACTAACTTTTTCCCACTGGATAAAAGTTAACATGAGGGTTCCCGATGGTTAGGGACAAATGCAATCGCATGGCAGGAAGCTGTAAACGGGCCAAACTTCAGTCGGGAGAACAACTGAGATAATCCATCCACAATACGAGGTTAGTCATTCATATACTGCTGCATGGGCTGGGCTGTAAGGTTTTAAAAACTAAGCTTTAAAATGATTAGCGGTAATAAAAACCTAGAGAGGCCGACTGTGATCACTGACTGTTTTTAGGGGCTTGTTGAGATTAAATAGAACAAGATACAAAACATTAAAGCATGTTAAAAACACAACAGCCTTATTAAATGCAGACTACTTTGGGCCCGGAAGCAGGATTCATCACGTCATCACTTAAAGACCGGATAGGTTCTCATTTAGGGAGAATTGGAAAACTCGTAACTCCTCCCACCTGCAACTCATCATAAGAAATTAGTTGTGTTTCTGTATTTGACTGCAAACATAAAGATGGGCAGCAGAGAGCAGGGTCCAGCTCATCAACATATCATCTAAACCTGGTTCGCCCCAGAGGAAAAGGCCACGTCCAAAACATTTGTCCACACTATTCACTTAAAACTTAAAGACACACAACTCACAACACGCATGTTTAAATGTTCACAGTTTACTGACATTTCTTTACAGGAGTTCTGGGTGATCGATCAAACCAGCAGAAATCTCTCACAGCTGCAACAGTTTCACAGACATCATGATTCAGATTTTCTGTCACATTTGTGAGGTCACAGGGTTCATGAAAACACAATCTGAAAAAATAATCGACACCGTCTCGTCAGTAGTTCATCACACATAAACTCGCTTCCTGACGTCACGCAGACACGACCTGAGCACCAGGCGTTACAGTGCAGTTGTGCAGAAGGATGCAGTCCCTCAGAATCAACCTGCCACAGACTGCAGTGAGAAGTTTGGCAACACGACCTCAGATTATTGCACACAAAATCGGCGAAGATGCATGAACAGATTCGCACAACCTGAAGAACATGAAGGGTCATTTACTCTCTAACCGCAATCCTCAAAATGTGCTGAAGCATACTTTGTGTTTAAAAGAATTCACCAATAGCCACTAAATAAACGGTCAAACATTTGTGGAAATTTGCTCATTTCTCTTTTCTTTTGAGACTGGAACCAGGACATCGCTAACAACCCTGAAACGACCTCTAAAGTTACCACGCTCATGGTTTCTTGATGGAACTGCTTTTTGTTCAGCGGTTACTGTGCGCTGCCTGTGGCACCATGGCGTCTGATCTAAAACCTGTCCTCGGTGACAAACATGGCTGACACTACGCAGAAGAGAAAAGAATTAAAACCACAAATTTCTAATTTACATGCTCGTCTGTGTTTGGAGTTTTCTAGTAACTCCTAACTTCTAATCTAGAAGCTTAACGTGTCCGATCATCCCATGCTGAAAACAGATGGCTCAACGTCTGTGTTCATTTTGTTAATTTTGACAAAAACTAGATTGAAATTTATTGACACTTTTGTTGATGAATAGCGACTACATGTTGTGCAGCGGAGTTAGACGTGCACAGTTTGATCTGGGGGGCGGGATTACGCTCACATGCTCCGACAACATGTCAAAGCTTGGGAGGAAGAGAAGAGTAAATTTAACGCTTCGTAAACTGTGTGCAGCAACTTTTACATTTTTACACTTTATATTTTAGTCAACTTCAGATTTAGTCTAAGATGATCCAATAATGTTTAGTCGACTAAAACTAGACTAAGTAAAGGACAAGTCTTCACTGTCAAAGGTAAGTACAAAAATCTTACACTGGTTATAGTTACATAATTAAACCTGTGGTTTTAATTTCACAGTCAAAGCAGGAATATTTATTTCTGTTATTTGCCACTTTGTTACATATGTATGTAACGAAGATTTCACGACTGAAATTAAAACCACGGATCAACATTATGTAACTATAACCAGTGTAAGATTTTTGTACTTACCTTTGACAGTGAAGACTTGTCCTTTACTTAGTCTAGTTTCAGGAGGACCTGGCAGGGTTCAGAGAAACGTGTTCATGACTTTACTGACTGAACAGCCGTTTGGTATTTCAGCCCAACAAACGTGGCAAAAATAAATGGCACTCTTTGCAAAGTAGCTTGTTTTGACCTCCCGAGAGTTTTTCAAGGATGCAGCATCTTTTGAAAACTATGAAATCTTCATGAATTGCACATGATAAGCACTATGAAGGTAGAAGTAAATATACCAGTGGCACTGGAGCACCAGACTTGGTTTCTCTTTACTTTTCCGTGCTAAGATAGGCTTCCACTCTGATGATCATCTGAACCCAAGAAAAAAAGGAAAGAGCAAATTTCCTTGAAAGTTGTTCATGTTCAAAGCAAAAGCTCAGCTGACTGGAGTTGGCAAAATCTCAAGAAGCTTTAAGGAATCACAGTTAGCAAACTTATCTTCCCTTTTTAGGATTCTCTTTGGTCTGGAAGAAGTTTGGAGACAGACTTTCGTCCGGCCTCGGAGGTTCTGGACAAACTGGCATTGACACTAGCTAAGTATTAACAAATTATTTACATATTTAATTAAATTCTTATTGTTATTAAAATTCACAAGATAAGTACCTGTAGCAATCCCAAGCATGTCCAGTTTTTGGCTCTGCTTTAGCTTAACAATTTTAATTATTAGCGCTGCCTGTCAGATGTCCGATCCAAATAAAAGCCCAGGCTGTAACACCCCCACCCCCCCCACACACACAAAAAAGAAAAACAAACACAGGACGACAGTTTTAGCACAAACAGCAGTTTAGGCAATCAATGAAACACTTGTTCTGTGCTAATCAGGTGTTAGCATGCTAGGCTTTGACTGTAATATTAGCGCTTGTATATGCAACACTCAATACGCTAACATGTATGTACACACACTAGCACAGCAGGATGTTGGTGTAAAGCAGAAGTAATCCATTCAAGGCAAAATAAAGGATAAAGTATAGAAAACTACTATGATTATAAAATATACTTTTACACGGTACAGAGATATTCTAGATTGTCCACAAACCAAAGTTACCCTGTTATCTTTGGATAATCACTGCCAACAAACCAGCAAATTCACTCTTCTTCACACACACACACACACACACACACACACACACACACACACACACACACACACACACACACACACACTGCTTAGAAAAAACCCTCAGATATATTCGTTTGACAGGACCAACCTTTGAAACTCACTTTCTTCCAAATCTTCCCATGAAATATGAAAATAAACAGACATTTTCTCATATTTAACAAAATTGCATTGAACAGTTAGATTATGACACATTATTAAATCATAACATTTAACCCTGATAAACATTTCTTAGATTGTTGAAACCACCAGCTTCCTTCAAAGGTGCCTGCAGTCACATTGGCTCACAGCAGCCCTTGTGACAAGATAACAGAAACCTTGATATCTTGATATTTAATCATCCTCTCTGATCTGAAAATCTACCTGAACGTCATCACTGATAATCTGACAGGCTGGAACAAAGTCTCAATTACGCGTTTATAGAATTAAAAGTACAATAATTAGACTGAATTTGCAGCTAACAGCTGACGTGTAGTGATATGTACCTGTACTCATTCATGTACTGTGTTTGTGTAGTATCATCAGTGTTGTGTTTTCACAGATTTCAGATGCAACAGCTCACAAGAATATAGTGTTTTTGCCTCCTGTGTGATAAGACTGATAGTTCTCTCATGTCTCTAATGGTTATGAAATTATTGCCAGAATGTAGTTAGCTTAGCTAGGCCCGGCTAAAAGATTAGAAATAGAGCCAGTCTAGAAGAGTCTACTTCCTGGTATTTCCACCAGGAATCCAGCCAGGTGAGCAGTAGGGGGCGATCGTGAGCCAATCCTGAATATGTGTAAATGAAGCTCAACAGCTAACACGTTTATTTACACCCGTTTAAAGACAAAAAGGCTATTTTTATTTTAGTATTTCTAACACAACACTGATAATATGCCAGATTTGATATGAAACGACTCTTTTATCTCTCCTTTGATTTTTATTTTTTCTAAATTATGCATCGGTCGTTTAAGGACTGGGCGTACTTTCTCGATGGTTGTGGGAAGCGTAGCTTAACAACAATGGAAACTTCCATTTGTATATAAGAAGCTACTGGTTGCGTCCCACTTCAAAAGCTGTAAAGCTTTCTCAGATTTACTGCAACACAAAACTGTAAAACTCTTGAAAAAATAAAATAAATAAATAAAAGTAAATCTGTTGGCTCAAAGACGTCTTTTAAGAACATCATGGAAACTCGCCAAAGAAAAATGCTTTCTCCAGTAGAACTGGTCTTTTTCTTCATCTACATAGAGCTCCACTGATTATGGAATAACTCATGAGCGCCCCCTACGCTCTCTGAGAAACAAGGGAAAATGGGTATCCTGGTTAACTGGACACCTGTGAGGTCACAAGGTGTTATCTCAGGTGTGCTTTCAGATTTGGAGATTTTGCTTTATAACATTTGAAACTGAAGTACAATCGTAATAATTTCTATGCAAAACTCCCAACATTCCCAAAATTCCCAACCATGTGCTGCATGTGGCCTCTGTGTGGATTTGTTACTTTTCTTTGTCCCATGTTACACAGAAAGAATTTATTTGATAAACTGATGGATGACGATGAAGCCGCAGGATTTCTGAGGGACAAATGTTTTATGCTTTTGGTACGCTACATAAAAAAAATAATTGTTTGTGTGTTAAAAATATAACTCAGTACTCAGACAGGCGTTTACCAGGAAAATAAACTTTACTTTCATTATTTCATTATATTTAAATTTGAGTTATGTTTAAAAATTCAAAAGGTTGTTTTCAAATAATGACTTTTACAAACAATAAATAAATAACTGGTTCAGTTTGAATGTTAGGATTACTGAAAAACATACAGATGGATGAGCATGAAGGTGTTATTGGATGTGGGGTTTTCATTTGTATTCTTTAGTGTTGAACAAAGAGCCAAATTGGATATTTTGTATCAAGTCTTCACAAAAAAATATCAAATTGAAAATAATGTCATAGACATCTTTTTGTTAACGGAATAAAACGAACCTGGATTTGAGAAGTTCATACGTGGTGTGGACGGCCTGCTGTTGTTTGTATTTGTCCTTAAATATAAAGTTGTCCAAAGTCAGTCAGTAATTGTGTTAAATAATCGTGATCTCCATATTTACCAAAGTAACTGCGCACTGACAGATTTGTTATCAGTGGAGCGCTCTCAGGGCTACGGTAGATATGATACATCTGTCCTGTTTGATTTCCATGTCTGACCCACGTATTTGAAACACAGAACATTAGGATTTTGGACTTAACTCTGCAAGAATGTCATACGAGAGAAAGAAAATCAACAAATCCGACACTCTGACACCAGGATGTGTTCTGCACTGCAGCTTCAAAAATCATAATATTCATCATCAATTTATAGATGAATCATCGGGACTGGAGAACCAAATGTGAGAAGTGTGCGAAGTGGAGATTCAGCTGAACACAGCGCTGCACAGAGACTTGCGAGGCCTCTCGATGGCGCCGCATTTATTTACACTCCGAGTCTGTGGGAGTGCGTGGAGATTAAAACGGTAAACCACCCAGGATACGCCAGTGAAACGACGGTGTGTTGAAACAGCATCTTAGAGGATTTAGAGGCTGTTTGATCATAAAGGTGCAGAAATCCTCTAACAAGCTTAGAGCGAGCAGTTTTGTTGCTTCACACAGTCGACTTTGACATTTTATGGCACAGAAACAAAGGCGGTCAACTAGAAAAGGAGCAGAGACACGTTTCCACAAGGCAACACATCCAGTGGTGTGATATTTGATGCCGGTCACAGGCGGTCTGGTGTGTGAAGGATCTGACCAGTTCATCGTGCGAGTTAAGAGTTTGAAGCTCATGCAGCTCTTTAGAGTCTATTTACTCGTTCAAAACAGCAGAGAGTCATTTTTATAGCAGGCCCTTGATTAGAGGCTCTCTGCAGATGGTTGTGTTGCTGAAACTGAGCTCAGGAAGGCTGACCGTCTCCAGGACTGGAATGATCATCAACATTTGTGTTCATTTAGCCTTTTCTGCAGAGAGCTTTCTCCCTCTGAGCCCCCGTTTTGGATCTGACCACGCTTTTTTTCTGCTCTTCGGTTGTTTTTATAAACCCAGATGCATTTGAAGAGCTCTGACGCATCATCAAATGAGTCAGAACTTCCTATCAGATATTAAATAACACAGCTGAGATCCAGATTCACTGAGAGTGTGATGTGAGTCTAATGTAACCTCTTAACTTCCGCCGGGAAACTGGAGACCCATTTAGGGTTCTGGGTGGGTTTTCGCCTTTTTCTAGTTTCTGAAATGTGCTTGTTTAGCATCAAGCTGAAGCGTCGCCAAACCCAAGCTCTAATCCTTAGTGGGTCACCAGAAACCATTTGGATGTCTGAGTAGAATTTTAGCTCAGAAGTTTTTTCCTTTACGTCTTTACTCGGTGTGACGGAAATGTTCAAACTTTAGTCCCTGCAAGTCAACATCAGCTTATCTTCTACGGTTCTTTCAGATAGAGTAGCTATAGTAGAATTTATGAAATATTATGACAGTGTATCGTGGCCATTAAACCTTTAAAAAACATGAATGGAGCAAAGAGAGGAAGGTAATCTTCCCGAAAAAACGTATATAATTCTTGGTATTTTAATCCCAGATATATGGATTTGTAATCTAACGTTCAGAGTTATATATTTCTTTGAATTGCAGCGTACCTTGGAGAACTGATTACTGAAAGGTGTAAACTTTTGTCTTAATTTTTCTCTTTATGAGGACTTAAAAGGATATTCAGTGAGATTTATGTTGGCAAATCTTGCAAATTGTGTCCCAATACACAAAGTTTTGTTTTGAAATATATTTAAAATGTGATTTCTATGTGTAACTGAGGCGTGAGTGACCATGAAGTTTGCTGTTTCCAACACACACATTTAATGAATCTGGGTCTGAGTGATCTTGGAGGTTTTGTTCAGTGTGATCAGTAAACGATGACGTATTGCGTTCCCATCAGACAGTAGTGACCGACAGCAGTGGGCTGGGACAAAGCTGGCTGTCGCTCTCCACTCGAGTCCCGTGAGTCAACAGCTCCTCCACCGTTGTCCAATCATCGAGCAGCTTGCTGTTCCTCAGTCGGTTCTGCTTCATGTGGCTCAGTTCCAGCACCGTCTGAGATGACAGTGACCCCTGAATGCCCCCAGTTTGCTCCTCCCCACCTCCTCTCCTCTCTCGGTGTTGGCGTGACAGCGCCAGGTGGCGTCTTCTTTCCGTCCGGCTCCAGTATCGCCCCGCCAACCGTCCATCGTCTCCTTCCTCCTCCCCTAGTCTGCCTCCTTCTCCTCGCACCTCCTCGTCTGTGGTGACCTCACTGCGTTCCCTGGCCAGACGGTACGCTCGGGCCCTGAGCAGCTGATTCCTGACTGACCTCTGATTGGACAGTCTGGAGCGAGGTGAGGGTGGAGAGCGAGGACTACGTTGCGGCGCTCCAAGAGTGCTGTAGAAAGGACTGCACGTGCCCTTTGGCCTGCCAGGGCGGTTCCCGAGGGTCTGAATGCCACGCCAGTCTGACATGCCACTGGAGCCGGATCCAGGGCTCTTAGAGAGCGAGTCCTCCTCCCTGCTGCGGTTCGAGCCCGGGCTGTTTCTCATTGTGTTCTGATGATTGGTCAGACTCGTTTTGTCTATGCTCAGATGACTAGCAGGGTGACAGTTGTTGGGATAGCTGGCCCTGCTCCTGGGCCCCAGTGCATTGCTGGTTGTGTCTGGCTGGTTTGTCTGGGCTGTGTTTGGATCTGTCATGTTGGGATGGCTCGCCCTGCGCCGTCGCTGTCCTTCACTCAAATCTGTTATTGTTCGACTCCTACCTGGACCCTCTACAGTCCCGCCTCCTCTGTGCTGCTGCTGCTCCAACCATAGCGCCCTCCGCTGACAAGGCTCTGTACGACAACCTGTTCAAAGAAAGCTGTGATTAGGCGTTAGATATGTGTCTGCAAGAGTGTTTTTGGATATACTGAAATATGCTTGACGGGCATCTCTGTCCTACAACCCCAGAAACACTCACCTGAACCTGGATTATAAACATATGAGGTGAGACGCAAGTTTGTCAGGTCGTGGTGCATTAAGGATCTGAGACACTGAGCTGGTGACTTAATGCTATTTTGCTAGAAAGTCAGCACAACAATACCACGATGCAGTGCACGGTTTGTTATATAAACAAGCAAATGTGGAAACTACACGTTGAAATGTTGGCTCTCAGTCAAGACATTTAAGCATTTCTCTCCCTCACAATGAGAAAGTCTGAGACTTTATGAATAAAAGAGGGATTTAGCCACCGTGACATTGCAGATTGGTTTCTGTTAGCACTTTGTCCATCTACTAAAAGTGACTATGTTTGAATGAGATGGTAGCGTGGCCAAATTATCAGCTTGCTGAGCAAGATTGATTCATAGACTATGGGTACATCACACCAGCAAACATACGTGCTTATCAGTGGTAAGTTATGCTTCACCAAAGTCTTTACTTCAGCAACACTGAAGAGTAGACTTCTTGGATGGTCTGCAGCGATCGATGCAGGAGATACAAACACAGCAGAGAGGCTGTTCTCATTAATTCTAGAATGTGAGGTCCAGCGAATAGCTAACAGCTACTATTACCTGTGTCAGCACTCTGTCAAAGTGGCCACTCCCCTAACTTTGAGCCTTTGCTGTATCTAAATGGATGGATTTTAAACCTGATGTGTAGCTTACGTGAAGAAATCCATCTATAGACAAAACTCTACCCAGCTGTTAACCTACCTTTGTGATGCTGTAGAGTTGGGCATTTTAACATGAGCTGTTGGAGCCGCCTCAAGTGATCGTTCAAGGAACTGAAGCTTTGTCCCTGCCTTAATTTTCAGACGCAAATTTAGCTATTTGATTGGAGGGTGTAAACCTGATAATTCTGTGTTGATGTAGTTATGTTTTTCAGGAAAACAGGGATAAGAAGAAAAGACACCCGACGCTAAAGTCACTTTGACCTCTGGTTGGACTGTGATGAAGCCATAGCTCAAAACTTTGACAGATCAGACATAGGTGTGGACAGACAAATTAAAATGACTAAAAGTGGAGATTTTCACAATTATTTTACTGTGTTTTACTAACCGATAGAGGGTGAGGGTGGTGAACGGTGACGAGGTAAAGTGGGACTCCTCTCAGCTCTGTGGAAGTGAACTGTTGTGGTCGTGCTGTTACCCACAGAGCAATGGGATGCTTTTGGTACTCCAGGTTGGGTCATCGGAGTCGTCTCAGGAATCGACTCCAAATCCCAGCGTCCTCTCTGCTCACGAGGGGAGTGGCCTGAACGAAGATGGTGAGCTTGCCGGTGAGTGTGGCCTCCGTGAATCTTGTGTAGCCGTCTGTGCTCCCCAGTGCTGACACTGTGGAAGCCTGAGTCGCTGGGTTCGGAGGAGATTAGGGACTCTGAGGAAGAGGAGGATCCTTGAGAGGAAGGGGTGTGGCCAGGCAGTGATGACATGGCATCTGTCTCAGCTTCGGAGAGCGCTATCCGGTTGTGTGGGCTGTCGGGGCCACAGCCTAACCCGCTGTCAAGCTCACTGAGGGGAAGGTAGCCAAGAGGACGTTCAGACCTCCAGGGCTGACGATAGTCCGACTAAAGAGAAAATAAAAGAATTTAAACTGAGGTTTTTTTTCCAAATCAAACTGCAAAATATGCTGCAAATGCTCCATAACTGCAACATTTACTAATAAAAAATGGAATAGTTAGAGAAACAGTATAACAGAGACAGGGATAGGTCTGAGAAGAGGGCATAGCCTTGATACTGAAACCAGTTACCTGTCTGGGAAAAATTGTCGGGTCCACCTCTTCTGCACCGTAACAGCCAATCAGACAGCTCTCAGAGTTAGGCTGGTAGTGCAACATTTCTTGGCCCTGAAATAGAAACAAAGGTGAGAAAAGAAACTAGTGTGTCTTCATTGGAGAGGGTCATGAGTTAACTTTAGTGCTGAAAGTCTCCCAGACGTGACCTTGAAGAGGAGTTCAGTCAGATGTTTTTAAGGGCCGATTTATGGAACAATCTGGAAAGATCGCAGCTAGCGTCATATTTTAGACGAACACATTCAAGTGATATTTCAGAATAAAATGGTGTTGTAAACAAAAACAAGTTACCCGGTAGTCCAGTCTGTCCAGGTGGTCTAAGCTGTAGGACACACTGGGCAGGTAGTTGTTGCCTGGGTGCTGGTCATTTGATGATCTGGGGAGGTATCCATTGGGTGGGTAGGCATCAGGTGGCATCATCATGTGACCATTGGGAGAGTATAGGTCAGGTGACACAGTCATGTGACCATAATAAGGCCTGTGTAGTGAAAGAGATCAGGTCACTTTATATTTTATGAGGAAGAGGAATTCAATAAGAATGTAGGACGCTCCAGTAAAAGTGTCATATATACCTGCTTAAATAAAAACAATACATGTATAGTCTTCATGTTCTAAGCAGACAGGTACTTCAGGAGAACAACCTTCCATGGCCATGAGAGAGACACTCGATGGAGCATCGTGCTGATCTTGCAAACTCAATTTGCCCCAAACCCTCAAGTAAAAAAGACACATTGTCCTTCAATCTGACATATCACGCAAACAGAGGCATAGGATTTATTTTGGTGTTTTTCGTTGCAGTCGTTACACGTCAGCTCATCCCCAAAACTTTTCTAAAAGTTTTTATGATACGTGTTCTCATCCTTGATCCCGAACCCACATTATCTGCTTTGTGGTGAAAGTTTACTTTAGTTGTCCGTGTAGGTTCTCAGTCATCCAGGTCATGGTAAACTAAGGAGCTTGGAATGAAAAGCAACTGGATGTTTCATCTCTCATCTGAAAAGCTTCACCAGTTCTAAGACCAAATGGTGGAGAGTCCCAGATTTTAAGCCCTAGTGGGAGATCTCCCTTGAGAGGCTCGTTGACCCATTAACTGATCATGAGGTGTGAAAAAGGGTGTGGCTCATTATCAGCAGAGACCGGGTGAAACCATTATCAGGGTGAGTGGGTGTTAAGTCGCCTGGGAAGGGATCTCGAAATTGGATTATAGGTGGCAGACAGTTGGTGTCGTAAGCCACGCCCTTCTGTTCAAGGATGGCCGTCGTGGTTTCTTTCAACTAAGCCATCCATGTCCACTGCTGGGAAGGCCTTCCACACCATGTATAAACTTATTCTTAGAGTTCAGATAGATATCTACAACCAGATTAGTTTTATTTCCTTGAGAATAACAAAAAGATATCTAACCATTTGTTTTCAATTTGATATCTATTTGTGAAAATGTGATACAAAATATCCAACTGTCTGCCACCTATAATCCAGTTTTGAGATCCCTTCCCAGGCGCCTTAACTTCCACTCACATCTTGTGTCTGTTGGTCTCAATAAGTTACATGATAGCGTGACGCAGGGACTCACAATGGTTTCACCTGAAACCTCTGCTGATAATGATTCGGATAAGAGGTGAAAACATCTTCAAGAAACGTAAAGAAGTTCATTTCCACTTTCCTTAGTTTAGCTTCAAACTTTCAACTCATCCTCTTGCCATCTTTTAGTCCTATGGCCAACATCTTATCCAGTTTGCAAACACCTTATTCCCAAAATCGGACCTAGGTTCCAAACTTTGCACCATTTAATTCTTTTCCTTCTCTATAAAAGTCTCTCATACTGTGAAAAACACAAATTTCTCTATTGTCATGAACGTATGGGGTTGGGGCGCTGACTTGGTTATCAAGTCAGATCTTGGCTCCTTAAAAGTAAAGAAAACTGAAATGTTTTTTACTTAAATCACAAAAATGATGCTGTCAGAATACGACAGGAGTACGTACCCTGCAGTGTAGCCGTCTCCCTGACTTTCCTCTCCCTCCATCAGCCCCATGGCTCTCAGGGCCTCCCAGTGTCTCTCGGTGGGGACGCTGCACTCAATTGCACAATGGGACCTTCGCCTCCTGTGACCATGCCCCCTTTTAGCTTCGACCTGCACAGCGACCGGCTGGCCATACTCGTCCACGTAGTGAAGCTCCTCTCGGTGTCGGTGGTGAGCAGGTTCACGAGTTTTAGCCTAAAGACCAAAAAAACATGAAAGCACTGCAAGCTTAAGAAAAAGTGGAAATGAACATCAGTAATTTGGTTCCTTCTATAAACCATTATTTATATTTTCAGCCACCCGAGGTTTCTGCCGTGAAACATCGCAGTATTTCGTGGAGTAGTGATAAAGCAGATAGGCTGCATAAAGACACAGAGGCAAAGTGGGAGTTTGGCCTCCAATACAAGGTCAGTCAGTGCTTTTGATCCAACTGTTTGGCATGCCTGACTACAATTGCGTTACATAAAGTGGCAAATGATTCACACTGTCTTTATATAAAAAAACGAGCCATTTTGCATAAGTTGGATAACAAAAGAGAAAAGTTTGGAACTGCAGCAAAGTTTTTCCTTTAGTACTGTGTTTACTGTGTTTACTGTGAGTGTGTTTTTTAATGGAAACAGATGTTTATTGAATATAAAGCCTCTGACCGATGACCCTCTATGACACCATCAGCTGTGTCTCAGAAGGCTCCATGCAGTATTCATGTAAACTGGAATAGTTATTACACCAGACAAATAAAACCACTGGGTGATGAATAGATCGTGTAAACACACTGGTACTGCTGTCCAGGCTCCTTCGCATGTTCATGCTGATCTCGCTCTACCTCCAGGATGACCCTGCTTTCATATCTGTGGGATGCAGGTGAGCTCGGCTGATTGGTTGCTGTTTTAGCTTGCTGCAGGCCTGACGCTTGAACGCTGGCTTCCCTCCAGCTCCTGTGGGCTCTCCTCTTTCCACCTCCAGCCAGCAAGCAAACTAGTCACTCAGCCTGTGTGTAGGATGTTAACTGATATCTGCCCAAAAATGCAACAGTCCAGGTTTGGTAGAGGTGGGTGGCATCTCTGTGTAATCCTCTATTTCTTCTATTTTGCTGAGTTAGGAGTTTATTCTTCTCTTTTATTTCATTAGGTATGTTTAGGTTGTAGTCAGGGGTGAACTGAAGCAAAACTTCCTTCAGCGAGTTTGAGTCTATCCTCAGTCACACAGAAATTTTTATGCTAACCTTGCCTCTGTAGAGCTGTCACGATATCACATTTTCTCCAACAACCATGCAAACTCACTATGAATACACTGACAGCACCGATGTTCAGAACAGTTAGCATAGACCTTATAAACAGAGAGTGTTAATGCAGGCTGCATTAACACGACTGTGTATGTCTTTGGATGCATGCGGTCTATAGGTGAGCGTGACAGAGTTGTGCTGAATTTAAATGCCCTGAAACTAAACTACAAACACAGAAAGTCGAGAAGGAAAAAAACGCCTCTCCCTCTACTGCACGCTCATCTTTTCTCTTTTCTTTCCCTTCAAGTTTAAAAGCAGATAACTGCCTCTCCCTGACCCCGGTTCTACTAAAGATCTCCTGTTAAAAGCACGTTCTTCCTCCCCACCATCCCCAGCTGCTGGCTCACAGGAGATCCAATCATTATAAATCAGTCCTATTTTATTTTGTAATCTTTGGTTCCTGAGTATTCTTGTAGTATTCCTTTGACAGTTTTCCCTTATTTTTTCAGCCCTGCCATCACCTGTTTAATTAGCCACACCTGTTCCCAGTCAGCCAATCAGCTGTGTCTCCCCCTGCTTCTCTTTGTTCCTTTGCCCGATCCCCTCATCTTTTTAAAGGTTTGGTTTTCCGGCAGTTCCCAGTGCTTTAAGCATTCCTCATGTTCCTGATGATCTTGTGCACGGCCTTTTTGGATTCTCTCTTTTGCCTGCCCCTTGCTGGAATTGTTTGCTCTGCTAGCTGACCCGTGCACGACCTCTGCCTGGTCAAAGAATTTTAGTCTCTTTGCCTCCGGGGTCTTGTATTTGGCTCCTCTGCTCAGCGAGCCCTGCACTAACAGTGTCGGGTACCTCAGTCTATAAAGCCCCTTCAGATGACTTTTCTCTATATGGATGCAAATGAATTCACACAGTAAAAGACAAAAAGATTTGCCTTTGTTGTTTTAATTATGCTATTAAGAAAAACTGTGAAAATCAACAAGTAATGCTGCAAACTATTGAACGCTTCCCTAAATAAGGAAGTGTTAGACGTGAAAGGCTGAATGATGGAGAGTTCAATAGAACTGAAACCAGCATAACGGAGGTCTGAGTTTATAAATGGAACAAAGACGAGTTCACTGAAAAATCGAGAAAGATTTCAGTTGAGTGACTCACATACAAATAAGGCCAGCTGTACCAGAGACGCACGATAAACACTGAGACGCCAGACTGGGAAGATTTGAGATAATAATGAAAAAGCTTCGACTCAGTAAATATTCTCTGCTGCTCGTTTCTGAAGGAGAAACATTGGCTGAGATTTTGTTTGGCTAGACCTCGAAAATAACACAAGTCTGGAGATCAGGCTGATCACAATATCTCATTTTTACAAATTAATTAATGAAGATATGATTTTGAAAAATAACAGCAACGATGTTATCAGTCAAATCAAGGTTTAACTTTAACTTAGGATAAAATGAGACCTGATCATACAGATTTTAAATATGAGAAGTTTCTTTATTAATTCCCAATTATTTAATTTAGAATTAGCTTTTTCAGTGCTGTATACCATTTTATTTATTAAAATACAACAAATAAGATCAAGCAAGCTCACTCTGTCCAGAGTGGATCGTCCTGTCCAGTCAGAGCATAAAAGGACCACTCACGCTCCGAAGGACAGGCAGTCATTAGGTCGGCTAAAGCCAAGTGATAACAAAACCCCCGTGTAACGGTGCAGCCTTGTGTTGGAACGTCACATGTGAAAGTTAAGATGCAGCGAAGTTACAGAGAGGCGGCATCTAGGTCAGGATTCAGCCCCCCGTAACCTCTGGACCAGCACTGGAGTCTTTACTCTCTCAGTACAAGGCATGAGGTCTCTCTCTCTCTCTCACACACACACACACACACACACACACACACACACACACACACACACACACACACACACACACACACACACACACACACACACACACACACAGGCTCACAGAGCAGTCAGAGAGTGATGTGCTGTACCCTGGAGAAGTGTGTCGCGCTCCACTGCACTTTGACAGTAACACAGACTGATCTCTCTCCCCTCCCTTCATCTATCCGTCGCTCTCTGCTGTTTGTGATGCTTTGACTCAGTTTTCAGTCTCAAAGTGCAAAACTCTGCAGAATGCAGACATTCGTCATTCTCAGCACAAAATCACAGTTAGCATGCAACAAGAGAAAACAAGTGTCACATGAGGAAGGCTTGGTGAATCTGGGTCCACCAAAGTTTGATCATCAGAGCGCGAGTCACTGCAATGCAAAATGTCAAACTAGGCTATAAAGATAAAAACAAGTCTGATACTCAGCCTGGTGTCTTTTAAAGTAGATGATACAAGAGAGTCAAATTTATTTATACAGCATCTTTCATACAAAAGCTGCTCAACGTTCAGAGACGAAAAGATAAAAGCATTAGGACGAAACAAAAATGCAATAAATACAATAAAGTTTATATTTTATGTAAAAGCTACAGAAAAAAGGTTTTAATCCTGATTTCAAATAATACACTCTTTGTTTTATTCCACAAACGTATGTTACTCTCATTCTGTAATCTGTAGTGGAATACATTTTAAAAGCAACCTTCCCAACACTGAGCTCCATAATCTGAGCTAAAGAAAGCATATAAATATTAAAAGGAAGCAGTCCAACAACAGAACCCTGAGGAACCCACACGTGACCTTTATTTGGTCAGAATTATGGTTGTAAAATGACAAAAAAAAATCTGAATTTGTCAAATAAAATTCAAACCAATTAAGCGCAGTTCCTGAGAGTCCCACCCGTTTCTCCAGCCTATCAAGCAGCACTGAGATGAAGCACTGCTATGACTGTAACTTTTGATGCATCACTATTACGCTGAATAAAACTGTGATAAGAGTGGTGTCAGCGCTATGATGGGGTCAGAATCCAGACACTGAGAAGATTGTTCTGAGGGAATTTGCTGGTAAACAACCATCTCAATAACCTTTGCCAAAAACGTTAATTTAGATATCAGCTGGTAATTACTAATTACTGAGACATCCAAGTTGGACTTTTTTAAAAGAGGTTTTATTACTGCATTTTTCAGGGTCTTAGTAAAATGCTGTGATTGCAGAGATGTATTATCTATCTGTAGTATTAGTGGGCAATATATCAAAGGAGAAAGTTGTAGATTTCATCTATTTAGCAATTTCTGTCAAAGATATGAGGTTTAAAGGTTTATTATTAAGTTATTATGTTATTACTATGTCTCTTGAAATGGAAACACCAACTGGTTGACTTGTCTTTTGTATTTTCTCAGTAAAAAATGCTGCAAAATCATTACATGGTTTATTAGACGATAACTCAGAAGGAAGTGGTGGCAAAGTTTTTGTTAGTCTATCAATAAACTAAATAAAACACGAGTGTTATTGACATTGTTATTGATGATCTTTGAGAAAAAGGACTGTCATGCCCATTTTTTACTTTTGATTATAAATCTGAAGATGTCTTTATTAATATTGTAATGAGCCTGCACTTTAGTTTTCCTCCACCTACATTCAGCCTGTCTGCACTTCCTGTTCTGAGTTCTAACCATTAAATCATTGATCTTTTCCCTCCACGGATAATTTTGGTCTTAATTGGAGCAACAGTATCCATAACAGTGAGCAGACTAAGGTAAAAACCATTTACAAGATCATCAGCAGAATCCAAAAGCAAAGATGATGGAGGTATATAAGCCTCAATAAACTGTGGACAGGTATTGTCACTGATACGTTGATAACTTCATCTTTACCAGTGATTTTAAACACGACACAATAATGATCTGAAAAGGCTGCATCACTGACCACAGTGTCAAATACATTTAAACCTGTAAAGATCCAATACTCTTCTCTGAGGGCCTTTAACTTTCAGATTAGTGCAAAGCTCAAGCCCAGATTACGCAGATCTTCAGGATCGGATGCCAAGTCTGCATTAATGGTGCAGTTTGAGGCTCCACCCCATTCATTGATGA